TGGCATTGAATGCCGAATTCAATTTTAAGTCGGCACGACTTGGTTGGAATGCACACTCTAGCAGCTCGTCCAACGGACCTGAGCCGATGGGTCTCAGCTATGCTTAGAAGGAGGAGGCACAGCACCGAGCTGCCAGGCAGCGTTCGAACACCCGACGGTGTTTTGTCTATGGAGACACCTGTCACCTTTGGACTGGTTGTCCCCTGCGCAAGGCACGTCAAGCATCAAACCGACGTCACCAGGCTTCTGTTTTGTCGCAGGGAAACAACAATAACCAGTAGGCGCGGGGCGCCCTGCTGGGGAAGAACTGAGTTCTGTTGAGCCTTTAAAGAATTGTAGGTCAGCAGGGCCCAGCCCTGAAGAGCTCCTAGTGAACACGGAACGTGTATGCAAACCGGGCTTGCTGGTCGTGAAATCGACCGTTAAGGGCATTGAGAAGCCATTGAAGATCCTGATCGACTCCGGGATACAAGTAAATCAGCTGTAAGCTGAGGCGCTGAAAGCGCGGTTGAGTGACATCGTCACTGTTCGCTTAGCGACGGGGACATGTGCCATGGTGCCGAAGTTCCCTGCGGACCTCGGTGTCAAATTTCTAAGCTTTGATAGCGTGGAACACTGTTTAGTCTTAAACTTGAATCAAGGTATGACCTCATCCTTGGTATGGCATGGCTGGAACACTATAGCCATGGATCGAGTGGAGGTCAGAGACCTTGGGCGCTACGCGCACGTCTCCCGGTGGAGCTTTGGTGAGTTACGACGATACCTCTGCCAGGAGGCAACGCCGCTAGTGGCGCAGGCACTGGACCGAGACAGGCAACGTGCTGGAGATCGGAATATATCCGAGTTGGTGAACACCGAAGGTGTATCGGACAGGAGTTCCAAGCATGGATCGGGAACTGAACGTAGAGTGTCACGTAAACCACTGAGCACTGCTCACGTTTCGAAGAAATCGCTGCATGCCAAGAGTGGCGTGGTTAGGCGATGTCCGAGCCATCTTGGGCAAGGCCCTTCAGATGCGCGAGGAGTGGCACGCTATCCACTGGACTAAGATTTCAGAAATAGCAGCTCTTCGTCGGATGTTGTTAATAATATCAGGTCCCGGTGGAGCAGGAAGTGGGGCTTGTGCTGAACAACGCTGAGTGCGTGTTCATATTAGTCTCGCCGAAAGTACAACCTCTGTATAGGGGCGACAGCGACGCCCCTATACTAGCTGAGGCCTCACCTTGCATTCAAGTCTAGGACTAGACAGCGTTCCACGCTATTAAGGTCAAGAAAGACGCTGGGCGTCGACCCTGACCCAGGATGTGTCTATTTTAGTCGATAGTGCGCAACCTTACACCCTCGTCAACGTATGACGGGAGAGGAAGACAGCGACATCACCATCGAGGCTGTTTTCCGTGGTGTCTCTTCTTGAGCCGGACGGGATTTTCTTCAAAGCATTTGGCAGTGCGTTGAAGACAGGCGACTCAGCCGAAGTGGTCATCATACAACCGGAAGAGCAGATGAGCTTGTCCTCGCATCTGGGTGAAGTTTTCCTGGAGGACACTGTGAGGGTGCTGAATACACGTAGTGGATCTCTGATCCTGATGAATCCCTCGGATCCGTACTATCTCTTCGTGAAGGAATTTCAAGACGTCGTCTCCAAAGACCCCTCCGAGCCGAGGTGTGCGTCATGGTTTTGACCTGGTTCCGGGAGCCAAATACTGCGTATCACGCCAATGTCCCCTGTCCAAGGAGTAGTGTGACGTCATTGACTTCTTTTTTATGCGAACCACGAGGTAGGAATGGTGCTTGAGAGCAAGTCTCCACATTCGACACCCACATTTTGTGTCCGAAAGCCGAACGGCAAAAGGCGTAACGCTCTCGCTTACAATAAGCTTAAAGCTGCCACCATTCCGGCACAGACGCTGATTTCTCGAAAGCATGTTTGTCAGAACAATATTGTTGGCTGTATAGAGTACAGCGCACTCGACTTAGTTAAAGGGTATTACCAATTGCTCATGAGAGCGAGTGAGGTTCCGATGACAGCGATGAGCACTCCGAGCAGCATGCTCTGGAAGTGGCTGGTGGTGCTCTAAGGGCTGTTAAATGCACCAGCAAAATTTAATACTCAGTTGTTCGGGCCGCACCCGGCGTATGCACAATAATACTTCGACGACATCGTTGTCTACAGTCGTGCGGGGCACAAAAGGAAAAAATAGGAAACCACATCGTCCGCTTGAGAGCGATGCTCGAGTGCATGAGCACGTATAAGCTGTATGCTAATGTAGGCAAGCAAATCTTTGGCATCGAAGGAATTCCCTCTAGTGTGCTTCATTGGGAAGTGTAGCCCTCGATTGGATCCCGCTAAGGCCAAAGCCATAGTGGTCTGGACGGTTCCAAAGAGCCAAAAGAACTTGCGTAAGTAGTCGGCGAGGCCATGCGCAAGTATTGCAAAAATTCTGCGGAAACGGCACAGCCATTGTCGAATCTCCTTAGGAAGGATGCGGAATGGTGTTGGGAAACCGAGCTTCGGGAGGCATTTGACGGGATCAAAGCCAGCCTCCTATATGTACCAATACCGACTTTCCTAGACCCAGATCGTCCTTTAATGTCCTCACTGACGATTCGGACTTTGCCATCGGCTGTGCACTGCTGCAAGCAGACGCCGAGGGGCGAGATCGAGTGATAGCGTTCGAATATCGTCAATTCAAGGCTGCGAAGAGGAAGTACACAGTCCACAACAAGAAATTACTTGCGATGAAGTATGCACTTGTCAAGTTCAGGGTGCATCTGCTTGGCTCGGGATCTACACAGATCATGTGTATTACGCACTGCGACTTTGTTGCCTCTCCTCTCGCAGAGGATGATCAGGTGGCTTTCATTCTTCGTAGAATATAACTTACTTTGATGCGAGTATAAGCCAGGAAAGCAAAATGCTTTGGCTGATTAGACCGAAATATATATATGAACTTACTTATGTCACGACGGTGACGTCGTCAGTGACGGAGTTGATCCGCGCCACATGTCATGGTATGTGTGTAGCGCTGCTACAGGCTCTCGAGAGCAAGGAGTTTGGAAACCCGGACAAGAAGTTGTCGACGCGATCGCGCGCACGCTTACACCGATATTCGTTGGATAATGGATTGCTGTATTATAGCATCGATTTGACGGACACGCCACGGATTGTGGTTTCTCACGATGAGAATTTGAGGCCCTGTATTCTCTATGAGGCCCACGACTGGTCATCTCGGTCGTGAGAAGACGCACAGCTCTGTGAGTTGCCACTATTGGTGGCCCAAGCTGCACAAATGGAAGAGCACATATGTGTGCACATGTGAGACTTGTAAGAGGTTAAATGTCTCTCCGAATGCGCGGCGCCGCTGGCCAGTTTACTGGTACTTCCCGGCGTTGGCAGTCCATGAGTATGGCCTTTGTGTTGGCCTGCCGAAGGACACGGCGGGCAACACGGGTTTGGTGGTCTTTGTATACCGTTTGCGCACGATGGATCATCTTGCGGCGGTGCCGACTCATCGATGGCGTGGGTTCAGCGACACTGTTTGTCGGATGTGTCTTTTCGACAGCATCACTTCCCGGAGTCAATTGTCCTTGGTATAGACTTGCTCTTCGCTTGGAAGTTTTGGTCTACAATCTTCAGGGTGCTGGACACCAAGTTGACTGTTTCAATAGCGGACCAACCACAGACCAATGCTCAAACTGAGCGCGTGAATCTTGTCGTTGTCGACGTTCTTCGCAGCATCTGCGCTGAGACGTCGAAGCGCTAAAGCGCCATGCTGCCACTCATAACGTTTGCTTTGATCAATGCAGTGCATTCATCTAGCGGCTACACACCGTTTTACGTGAACGGGCTTATTAATACTCGCATCCCGCTGACACCGTCATCCCATGGGTCAGGCCTTGGATGGGAGGAATAGCCAAACGACTAGCCGATGTTATCCACCTCACTGTCCGTAAATAAGTCGATGACTTCCTGTCTACCAGAATGAGTGTCCTACCACATGTTTGCGACGCGATGGACGTAAACACGTATTTTCTCTCTCGAGTCATTAGCATGCGTAAAGCTGTACAACGAGTTCATTAGTGCGATATGCTTCGTCAGGCGGCGAGAACACTCGTGAAAGTTGCAGATTCAGCCCCGTCCAGGAGGGAACGCCGCTTCGAACGAAGTGCCACACATTAGTGTCCATTCTTGCGTTCGACCACCGAGTTTGGAGATAGCTAGCGTCACGCGCTGTTGCTTAGTCTAGAGCATGGAGGTCGCCATGGCCACCTCAACCTCTCTTACCAAGAGCAGGGGATACCTTCTATACTTACCCTCGAAAGTCTTAACGCTCACCATGAGCGGCCTGGGTCGGGAGGAGTAATCGTTGGCCGACGGGGGCGTCTTGGACACAGTCGACACCGACGTCTTCAGGTATAAGATCTCTAGCAGATCTTTCTTAAACCTTATAAATGCTTCTAGGCGCCGCGATTATCGATTCAGATCCTTTCAAAGCAAGATGTTGCACGCCCTCAGGGCCAAGCAGAGACATTATCTTTTTAAGACCGTCTTGCATGCCCTGGGGCAAATAAGAGAATCGCTTCATCCTCACAGAGGAACAGTCGTAACGACCCAGGTGTAGATTGACTACAAGTGCTATCAAGTGCAGCAGGGCTTCCGTAGCTATTTGCTAGAGGAAGCTAAGCTAAGACCACAGACTTTACGTTCTATACTAGAAGCAGAATGAGTGTAGCGGACCGAAATCCGCTAACTCCAAGAGTACTCACAATTTTAACCAAAGGCAAATAAACTTTTTCGCTTTAAATGTAAACTGTATTTCGTTTGTTCTATTTGCGGCAGAGCTGTCTATATTGATATCCATAGGTTTTCCGATTTAAATAGTAAAGCCTAATTAAAAAGCATATTACTGGCAGCCCAGCCACGTAGTGGATCCTTGTTAAGGTGTCGACAGACCATTGCGTGTGACACCATCGTGTGTGACCCGCCCCTTCATACCAGGGTACGTGTAACCCCCTTACAACTATCAATTTTAGACCAATCCGAAAATGGCTATCACGTTGGGGATCGAGGCCCGAGCTAGCTTGGCGGCATCGTCCACTACCGCGTAGCTTGTATGTGTAAAAGTGTTAACATTTACGAACATGAAATGATGCGTCACAAAAGGGCCAGTGTCTTGGAGCCCTGGATGCAGCCCAAACTTTTAAGGGTGAAGAATTCACCCCCAAGGACGGGCTGGTAAGTAAGACTCTCCAAAGCTCGGTCTATGTATATGCGGTAGTTATATAGGCAGCTCTGGCCACGAGTGACTTAAAGTCGGGTTTCATCTATCCTTAAGTGGTCAGGCAGAAAGCTGGACGCATAAAAAAACGCGACGACGCCCGGATGTTTGACATCCTGGGCGTAGCTTTGTACGAAGAAGCAGTGTGCCACCTTCCTGACGGCAAAGTGCGAGTCAAGCAGCATTGTGCCTTTTTGCCTGCAAGTAGGTAAGTCGCGGACCGAATAAAAATATAAATGTGCTGACAGATTATCTCCAAGTGAGGGCGAAGATGTCGGAGCAAGACTAAAAAAATCACTGCGACCATGCTGATCTGCGATAACCTGAAACCCCATCAATGGCATTAGTACAGATAATGCAATAAGCACAATTCAACAAAAGATAATGCAAATCTCAAGAAGTCGTGAAAAATTGTTTTCTGCGACTGCGTGTAAGTACGTAAGTATCAGTGTTCGTACCACCATACACCATATCATGCCAAAATAAGGTCCACAATGGATATCACACTTTTTTGTCTTCCTGAAAGACTGTGGAAAGGTGAGTGCTTACCAAACACCCACTGCACTTATATTTTCACTTCACTCCTTAAGTTCTACAGTGTCTGATTTTAAAATATTCTACGCGTTGGGAGTCCTCTCCAATACACCACGTCAAATGGCTCGGCGAGTATAGAAAAAATTCACAGTCCAAGCGACGTTGAAGCTACACCCAGTGAGAAAGCCGTAAAAGCGAGGTCCGTGGGACACGCAGGCTGCCAGCCTCACCTTAAGTGATACAGATTTTAATTTTATTGAACGTTGTACTTTTGGTTTAGATAGGCCAAATGCTATATATACCACTTTTGGAACAAAACGGCGAAGCTAATACTTGGCCACTAAAAAAAAACCGATTTGTATGCGAGGTGGAGCAGAAAAACTCATTCTCTGTGTGTTATATACACGGACTCTTTGAGTTATACCTTTCTCGTACAAACTTCTTTGTATCACTTTACGTCATTCTTTGAAACTCAATAATTTCTCCCAAGGGGGTCGTCGGCCGCCCTGTAACTCTTCGAATCCCTCAACCAAAGAGGAGGTTCGCAGAGGAAGACTTTAATACTCTTAAAGATTTGCGTACTCCCTTAAAAGCTCCTCACAGCTAAATGATGGACATCAGCTTTGGCGCGTATTAAAACTTTCAACACTGGTAGCCTAAATCGGCACTCGCGGCACGGAGTCTGCACTCAAGATTCAATGCTACACCCACTGTTTGCTCGAAAATGCAGAGTATACGCAAGTAGTCTCGTGTGAGCCACACTGGTTTGGTAGCCCTCGAAAAAAATATAACTATAACTGCCAACCGATGAAGGCCTGCCATCATCGCGGCAACGAGAGCTTGCAACTCCTGAGATTAGCCTTCTAGTCCTCGCCTCCCTTTTTAGGTGGACAAGAACTTTGAACGCACCGAATACACCCGAATTTGATTCGCGACACATGTTGCTTCAGCTCTTAGCGTGTTTGGATATTTACTTCTATAGAGGCACTACTTATTGGTCCCATTCCCTCGTAGGCTCTTTTAGCTCGAAGACCGCAAGCGTGACGTGTCTGGTCATCTCAGCTTCTCTCATGCCGAGAGAGGTTTTTCTACGTCGCCGTCGTAAAGGGTCTGACGTTTGGCATTATCATCAATGCAAAGGGTACCATTTGTAATCTGGCCAATTACCGGTGGAGACGTACCCGAAGGCGTTTCACCAATGCGATAGCATAGATGGTGAACGCCTCCAAGTGATCAATTATCGCTTTTGACCCTTAAGCCGACAGCTCCTCTATCTCTTCGAAGCCAACAAATGACATCAGCTTATTAAGCGTTCCTTGTTGTTTGGGGGACAGGTTGTGTTCAATTTTCACGATCGGTCATCGGGTGGCACACGATGAGTGCTGTAATGTTTGTGTGTCGCTTAACATGGACTTTTGAGTCAGAGTTAACCAACGCACAGATGATGAAGCACAACCGAGAACTTTAAAATACTCAATGCTTAGTTTGCACTTCTTACGAGATAGTATCTATTTTTGCTAACACTCTGTATGTGTCAATACACACAATATTGAGCCTATCTGTACAACCTGTCAATCAATGTCTGGGGGCTAACAGCCCACTTGTCCCATGGCCTCTTTTTTACGGAGTCCCATCGTCTTTATTAGTACCGATACTTTGCCACCCCTAAATTTAGCACGATCACACTAAAGTGTAATGTGTTTTGTACAGTTGTACAGAGGTGTATTTTGCACACTGGCACAGAAAAGTATTTTCCAAAGGTGTATTGCGTACGTATGCAATAGTTCAGAATGTACTGTACAGAACCCTGTTGCACCGAATGCTAAATGATTGAAAAAATCGAATGATTAAAACCACTTTACCAGCTTTATGCCTATTCGAGGGAAAATTGAGCGCATAGAATGATTGAGTCTTACGAATTGGTAAATGAAGTGTTACATCGCAATTTAGGTACCGCTGCAACAAAATCTCAAAATTTTCTAGCTTGTTCATTTAAAATCCGAAATTTTCCTCGAATGTAAAGAAATATACGTAATCTTCAAAATCAAAATTCTCTCATAGAGCACCTGCAATGAAGTTACCATCAGGCTACGGCTGCGCGACCACGGACAGCGATGGCTCCTCTACAGCGACTGGCGATAGCAACACTGTACATGATTCTGAGACCTGTGCGAATGGTGTACTACGCCCGACGTCCCAAAACCAGCAATACCGCAATTTGCCAATGGCTGTCGCAGTACCAATCTCTTCTTCCGGATCCTGCCCTGATAGCGGGCGCTCCAGCATGGCAAATAATCGCCGAAAAACAGCTCACAACTTCTCATTTCGCTCGCTTATTGGCTCCAAGTTTATTCGCCTTGCTGATTACGCTGGCAAGCCGCTTTTAATCGTGAACGTTGCATCACACTGTAACTCTACCACAAAAGCCTACGTACAGCTCAATGAGCTGGCTCAGCGGTTTCCTGAGCTTGTCATCATTGGATGCCCATGTAACCAGTTTGGTCATCAGGAAAATCTTAACGGCGAGGAAATATATCAGAGCTTGCGACACATCCGCCCTGGCATGGGCTTTGAGCCAGTATTCCAGCTTACGGAGAAAGTGGAAGTAAATGGAGCTAATGCCCATGCGCTGTTTAACTTTCTTCGTATCGCGCTACCATACCCATGTGATCGCACACTACTAGATGAGATGTCGACGCCAAGTGGCGTCTTTTCTCATCCTATGCGCCTCATCTGGATGCCAGTCACGCGTGCTGACGTCAGTTGGAACTTTGAGAAGGTGTGTGACCTTAATAGAGTCAGTTGTCGCGCATTTGATTCACAAAAGTGTTTTAATGTTGTTACCATATACAGTTCCTCATCAGCCCCGACGGCACGCCTTACAAACGTTACAGCCCCAAGCTCGACTTTGCTGGCTTGGTTGAGGACATAAAGTTTTTGTGCAATATCAATATGACTGGCGAACAGCACCAGCTGTAAGGTGGCATTTTTCTTTAACAACAGAAGATTTGAGCAAACGCAGCTGAAGACCTGACTGTGACCAAGGGCAAGTCGATGCGTTCGCGCTGAGTTAGTGATGGATGATGTGCGAATTTTGTGATAGGTGGCACGAGCGTAAAGTATATACTGTTATGATTGGCAACGCGGTGTATATACGTCGGATAATTAAATATTTTCTAACCAGTTAAATTTTCTTTGCGGTATAAGAAAATATGGGCGACTCGCAACAATAAATGTCTACATCTTCACCGCAATATAGAGCAACTTTGGCTGTACCAAATCTTACTATAGAGATTGGTAGAACGCGCAATGTCAATAAAAATGTTGCAACCACAGCAGGTATTTAATTGTGCTCATTTTTGAAAAGAACATACCAAAATAAAGAAGACTTTTTTATCTTTCTTTGTATAGTAATCATATTAGCCTGTCCACTTTTTTATCCAATAATAGTATTCTATCGCGACATTTTATAATTGGTTGCCATTAATCGACCCAAGTCATCACCACCTTTTCATTCACTCGCCGTGCACCCTAGATCAAGATGCAACACGATGAAGTAATATGGAGCGTTATCTCTAAGCAGTTTTGCTCCTTTAAAAGCAAGTACGCTTTCATGTTTGTTTCGATATCCTTTATTTACCACTCGCACTGATAACATGTAGTGACTGATAGCACTTTCATCAACGTTGTAGATTGCCAGACACGAAAAGTATGTTTTGTAGCAATCTGTACAATGTAACAGGACTCTGCAATCGATCAGCATGTCCGCTAGCAAACAGCCGCTATGCCACCGTTCGTGAGGAGAATGGCGTGTGCTATCTGTACATGAAAACCATCGAGCGTGCACATACACCCAATCGGTTGTGGGAGCGCGTAAAGTTAAGCAAAAATTACACGAAGAGTCTTGCACAGATCGATGAACAGTTGCAGTTTTGGCCTAAAAAGCTTATTCACAAATGCAAGCAGAGACTGACAAAAATTCACCAGTATCTCATGCGTATGCGAAAACTCACACTTCAAACGAAGCCCAAACTTGTGGTGATTAACAAAAAAATTGACCGTCGTGAGAAACGTCGTGAGAAAAAGGCAATGGTTGCCGCTAAATTGGACAATTCAATTGAGAAGGAACTACTTGAACGTCTTCAAAAGGGAACATACGGCGATATTTATAACTTTCCTGAGCGCGAATTTTCGAAGGTGTTGGCGGACAAGGGCAAGCGCCAGACTATGGAGGAGGAGAGTGAGGATGAAGCAGAAATAGAATACGAAGTTGATGAAGATGAGGAAGAGGACGTCGGGCAGGTCGAGTACGTTGAGGATTTTGATGAGGACGAAAGCGACCTTGAGGATCTCGCGAATGAGTTTAAGGTCGATGACGAAGGAGACAGTGATCTGTCCGACTTGGACGACGCCAATACTTCCCAGTCTAAAAAGCGTAAGGGCCATGCGCTTTCACAGAAGACGAACAAAAATCAGAAGAAACCCAAGGGACCCTACGTTGAAATTGAGTTTGAACAGGAGCGTGAGACGGCCGAAGGCGAAATCTCCTGGTAGGCTGTTGGTACATTAGTTGTATTAGGAACATCTCCTCGGAAATGATTACAGGAAAGGATAATTTTCCCAATTTTAATCGATTTTGTTCCAATTACAAGTAATACGTTATTATTAAAAGTACAATGAGAGCTTTCGGTTATATCGAGAATTTTTTTCGCAATCATTTTCTGTGTATCCGAAGAAATGATGTCAGAACTTGAATAGCTTAGCGCATGTCGTGAAGTGCTTGCGTTTGTCCGGCACCCCATCACTAGTATATACTGATGCATTTGATGAGTGCTTAGCAAATTTTCACAACGCTCAAACGCTAGTCAAAATTATGCTTTGTGGCGAGGAGATGGGCATGCATTGGTAACAGCTTTGCTTTCTGGTGTATTCACATTTTGACAATATTGATAGATTTAAGCTTCAACTGACCGAATCATTTTTGTTTTTGACGAGTAGCTGCAAAATACAGACACCCTTTTGATAATAAATGGATTTGAATCCGTAACCGATACACATGTGACAAAGCAGATAGAAATGAGCTACACTTACGTACAGAGCCATATCCGACAGATTAGCTCCAATGATTGTATCATCAGCTCACAACGGAATTAAAAGCTGGGTTTCATCTAGACGACGAACCATTGGAGCATGGATTTAGGAGATAAGCCCAGATTTCTGTGATTATTTGCGATTGTTTAGTTGGTAAATTCATTTTATAGACATCTTGAATTCAGTGAATTGCACGCAGAAATTATTTCCTACGTCAGTGTTGTAGAAAATTCACTCGCTTTGGAAAGAAGTGGCCCTTCTGGTTCAAACTTTTTGTAGAAGCCATCATCTGCCGTTTTTGCATAACCTAATTCAGCATATATGTCACTCACTTCGCGTATAAAGGCAAATCATCATTCATCTCGTCGCACGTCGCTCACTGGCATCGATAACTTTGCTTCAACTCAGTAGTGACGTATATAGAGAGCTAAGCTTAGCTTAAATTGATACCCAATGCAACGGAATTGCCGTGCACTTTGCACAGATGAAGCTTGTCTCACAGGGTCCGCGTAAACAAACACGCAAAGAATGGGTATGTGCACTTCGACTAGAAGCTTCAGAGTAACCAAACACTTTGCTACTTTCACAAGAACTTAACGAAGATACACTGTTAATATAAACTTGTAGTTCTCTAAAAATTTATATTAACAGTACAATATACACCCTTCCCCACTTAGATGTGGACCACTCTGGTGCTCGCACTTATCTCTGTCTTGTTCAGACACTGCGATAGAGTGACCGAATTGCGTACAGCCATTGCGCGTGTGGCCCACTCCACTCTCTCCAAATTACTGAGCCTGCTCTACTAAGCATTTTTTCGCACTGAGAATTTGCTTTTGTTCACGTAATCAAGTGGCTCCACGAGTCCCGCCAAAAGCAAATTCTTCTCAATTTATGCGCTTAGAGAAATTGAAACTGAGGATGCCGAATTGGTCGCCGATGAGATCAGTCTCAGTGCATTTGACGAGTCCCGACCAAAAAAATCTTGTTCACCCAACAATTCACGGCCTAGCCCTTTTCCCATGGATGCAGAGCTCACTGCGCTCATCATCTGTACTGCTTAAGTCTTGGCTTGCCGTCATCTATTGACAAAAATCGTTACGATGACTACCGTGCGACCCATCATAAGTTTCACCTTGTTAGTGGTAGGATGTTCAGGGTCCACGAAGACAAGCTTGATCTGCCGCAAGTGCAAGAATCACGCCGTGATTACGATTATATACCGTCCAAAGTCGCACGCAGCGTTGGTGCAGAGCTTCTACATGCCTTAGTGGGGAGGACTTTAGCTCACATCAGAGTTTAACTAGCCCGAGAAAATTGGTCCCCGAGCATTTCTCAACGTTCAGGTCATCACTCCCACGGGCCACCGCCTGCATTTGGATCAGCAGCGTTTGAGAGAACCCAGCAATGTACCTCACGATTTAGAAGCTGGCAAAATTATTGTTGAGTATCAGTCTTAATTTGCACTCTGAGCGAGGAAAGCACACCTCATCACTCATCGTGAGAGTAAACAACCCAGCTTCAGCGAAGCGGACGTCAACTCAACAACCCATCATCTAAAATTTAACAGATCCACTCGTCTTCATAAGACAGTCATAACAGCTACCATCTAAGGGCATTTTAGCGCATGGTCGGTAGTTAGCGCGCTGCGACAGCACATGCCTCTTATTTGAGAAAAATGAAGCCCAAGAGCATGCCAGTTCGTACACCAGAACAATCTTGCCAAAGTTATCCTAAGGACCAAAATTTCGTTTGTAGAAATATGACGGAACTCTAAAGAAGAAGGTCCCGAGGAAAAAATATGGGCTGCTAACTGCACTTCAGAAATAACACAAAGGTGATATACGTATATACCAAATATCAGTCTGAAAAATCTCCAATTTATATACTCTTGAATTGAAATGGCAGAGCGATAAACAGTGTTCGGTTACTTTAACGGCTCTAGATCTTGCATCTAGTGGGAGCGGAATATGTGAAATGAAGTTACCTCTGTTGAAGGTGCACGTAAATCCGGTTTCATGTAGTATCAGTTTAAAACAACAAAGCTCTAGTTATATGTCAGAAACTGAGCTCAAAACAAAATTACAACCTAAAGGTACATGATTTTTTTTGACCGAAGGTAATTCTTTTACTTTTCCCAAAATTGATTACAGCCGTGGCGTACCGGGCGGCCTGCCAAACGTTCGATGCGAGAAGAGGCCCCTATTGGTTTATCGAGTATCGCCAAAAGACGTAGGTCTTCTGCGGCTTGCTCTTGTAAACTCTTGCAGATGTGGCGGAACGTCGATTTGCTTCGAATTTGTGACGTGCATCCGAGGCTGGGATTGCTCATGCAGCGGAACTGTCAAAGCTCTTTCGCTTATCGCTCTATACTTAGAACCAGTGCGATTATAGCGGATCGCAATCCTCCTTGTAGTGGGGCTGCCATAGCTCTTTCTCTAAGATGAAGTTAAGCGAAGCTCGGTGACCTTCGTTCTGTACTTACAACCAGTACGAGTGTAATGGATCTCAATTCGCTTACTCCACGAGTGACCACAACCTGAACTCAAGGCAAGGAAAATCCTCTTCCGTTTAGAATGTAAACGTACTTTTTTGTTTTATTTATGGCAAAGCCGCCTATATCTAAAGATTTAGATTTTCCTAATTAAATAGTATAGTCAAACCTAATTAAAATACATAACCACTGACAGTTCAGCCACGTAGTGACTTCTTGTAAAGTGAAGTCCACTATTGTGTGATCACACCAGCCCTGTGTATAGGACACTAAAGATACCCAGCTTCGCCGGTTCCGCGAGCACCCGGGGACAGAGCCCTCCTTTGTCTCTTACACGCGGTGAAATTTTGCACAGCACGTCCGCGGCTTCAAAGGAGACGAATCCCAGGCCTTCGGCAGACGAGCACCGCGCATCACGCCCGCCACGGGTGACGGCTTTTCTTGTCGAGGATTCGGAGGAAGTCTACTACGAGTCGGATACTCATTTCTTAGGTTGGGAAGAAGAGGAGGGCAAGGTGCACCACCGACACGACGTGCGCCCTGCCCGAAACTTGTCCG